GTTCAGATATCAGTTTAATAGAGGTAAATGATCAAATATTTGATACAATGATACTATAAGTGTTTTCAGATGAATTGTAAAATAAACTGTGGCTGATGTAAAATATATTATGAATAAACTATCCTGTAAAAAGATAAGAATATGAATATGTTTTTTTTAATACCTATTATATTATTTTATCATCAAGTGTTTTTATTTTCGATAAGACTATGTCTATAATTTTTAATTGAATTTTATTAGATCTTAGATCTTCAATATTTTAAAAGCATCTTATTATTAATTAGGAATAAATTATTTATAACAATCTAAACAATACAATATAAAGAGTAATTTCATTATTATTTTCAGTCTAAAGAATAATATATATATATTTTATCAGATTAATGTAATATTTTCACTTTTTAATGTATACTTTGTAAATATCCATGTTAACGTATATATTTCTGTAAAATAATAGCTAAATGTACAAAATTACAGGCAACACGAAAACAAATATAATTTCTATGGTATATCATTCCCGACCCCGATGTCAGATATAGTAAAATTTGAAAAAAATAATCCGAACGTGTTCGTTAATGTTTACGGCTCAGAAAAAAAGTTTCAACCGCCTCGTAAGTACCCCACGTATGAGATGTACCCGTTACGTTTAACCGATGAGGAAAAGGATAATCATTTCGACCTGTTGCTGGTGACAGACGACAGCGGGTCGCATTACGTATATATTTCCAATTTTTCACGGCTCGTGCGCAAGCAGAAAACCGGACATGACGGACGTGTCGTGTTCTGTAAACGATGTTTTACTAGTTACGATGATAGACGGAATAAATTCAAGCTGAGCAGACAGGCAGCATTAGTTCATCATAAACTTATTTGGGGGCACATAAGCTGATTTTACCAGAGATGCCGAAAGAGGGTGAGWGCCTACAATTTGAAGCGTGGCAAAAAACTGTTAGACGCCCTTTTGTTATTTACGCGGATTTCGAAGCAATGTTGGTGAAGACGGATGAAGAGAAGAGTAAAAACACGACAATTATCCATAAACATGAGTCGATGAGTTATGGACTCATTGTAAAGGCGAGCGAGGACGTGCCGATAGATTTATTAAAGGAGTACGACATACCAACGGAACCGATATTATACAAAGGAAGCGAGAACAAGACGGATGTGGCTAGACATTTCGTTGAAACCGTGACTGAGTTAGCGTTGAAGATAGAGAAATTGATGATTGAGAACATGACGATTATTATGAGCGAGGACGAAGAAAAAACACATCAAGAGTGTACCAAGTGTAATTTATGTAAATGTAGTTTAGCCGGTGGCGTTAAGGTTAGGGATCATGACCATCTGACGGGAAAATTTAGGCAGACTTTGTGTTCGAAGTGTAACTTGGTGTTACAACAGCCTAAATTTGTCCACGTATTTTTCAACAACTTATCCAACTATGACGCGCACCTGATAGTGACGGAACTAGGCYACGACACCCAAGCTATTTAGAGTAATACCAAACAGTGAAGAAAAATGTATTTCCTTCACTAAAATACGAGTCAAACACCTTCAGCATGCGATTTTTTGACACATTCAGATTCATGGCTTCAGGACTGTAGACTCTGGCCAAAAATCTCATAACACCGGGTCTAAAGAACTTCAGAGAAACCGCCTTAGTGTCCGCCATGGAAGATATGCCGCTCGTGACACGTAAGGGCGTGTATCCGTACGAGTACACCGATAATTGGGGAAGGTTGGAGGAAACGAGGTTACATAGCAAGATAAGTTTTTACAGTACGTTGACGGAGACCGGGATAAATGAGGAAGATTTCGAGCACGCTAAGTTGGTCTGGGACCACTTTAAATGAACGACGCTCGGAAATTATWCGGATTTATACCTTAAAATCGACGTGTTACTGCTAGAGAACGTATTTGAAAACTTTGACGCGGTCCCGCGTAATAGTCGTTTGAATTCAAACGGCCTTTGCGCGGAAACCCGCGCCGTCTATTTCCTCTGTCAACCGCCAATCGACGACGGCCGACACCGACACGCGATAAGCGCGCCTGGAAATGTCGACCGCCGGTACCGCGAACCGGCTTGTATATACTCTATTCGCCGTAAGTTGACCCACTTGCTCGACGAAAACCGGTCGTAGCTGCGCAGGCCACCGCGTCTTCGGAGCGCTAGTGTTGATCGTTACCACCRCACCTGGCGTATACGTAGTGATTTGATTATCTTCACGACGTATCGACACTATCTCCGCGAACGCGCGCTATTATATTGCTATAATTCGTATAAATTATTTTGTATA